ATGTCCCCTGAAAGCATGGTCCCCAGACCTCCCATCCCTGCTACTCTGTCTCTCAAAGTATTTGATTGTATTGAGGAAACTTCTTAGCTTTGGTTTAGTCCAGTTGTGCTGACTTCCCCTGTAGTGCCGGCACTGCTTTCTTGATGGTATGAGGCTCCCGCAGGTCTCTGCTCACTTCTCTCTTTTATATCTCAAAAGAGATGGGATTAAGACACTATCCAATCTTGAAGACCTCATCAGTATAACCTCATCATAGTGATACAGTTTACAACATATAAGGAAATCATATATAACCTCATTATAGTTAGAGTTAACAACACATAAGGAAATCACATCAGATTACACAATTATACAATACTGGGAATCATGACCTAGCCAAGTTGATACACACATTTTTTGAGGGACACAATTCAATCCATGACAATGATCAACGGTGTTACACTGGGCTTTTGTTACAAGATGAGGTCTGTGTATGCTCACTTCCCCATCAACATTGTCATTCAAGAGGGTAGGTCTTTTGTTGAAATCCGAAGCTTCTTGGGTGAAAAATATATCCATAGCAATCAGATGAGGCCAGGTGTTTATTCAGTATCTCAAGCCCAGAAAGATGAGTTAATTCTTAAAGGAAATGACATTGAACTGGTATCAATTCGGCAAGCCACAATAGTTAAAAACAAGGCTATCTGAAAATTTGGGGATAGTATCTATGTCTCTGAAAAAAGGACCATTCAACAGGCTGATGAGTATGATCTAAGAGTGGTCCAGCTACGGTAACAAGGTCACATGACTCCTAAGACCTACAGGTAATATTTTTAAGATGCAATAAAATCCACCTATTCAAAAAATGTACGCCTAACGAAATTAATCAGTCACAAAAGGACAAATATTGTATGAAACCACTGTTATAAGAACTCAAGAAAAGGTTTAAACACAGAAGAAAGCATTCTTTGATGGTTACAAGGGTGGGAAGGGAGGGAGAGGGAGGGGAATTCACTAACTAGATAGTAGACAAAGTTTATCTTCAGTGAAGGGAAGGACAACACACACTACAGGGGAAGTCAGCACAACTGGACCAAAGAAAAGCTAAGAAGTTTCCTGAACACATCCAAACACTTTAAGGGGCAGAGAAGCTAGGGCTACGGCTTCGGGACCATAGTTTCGGGGGACATCTAGGTCAATCGGTGTAACAAACTTTATTAAGAAAATGTTCAGCATCCCATTTTGGTGAGTGGCATCTGGGGTCTTAAAAGCTTGTGAGCGGCCACCTAAGATGCATCAGTTGGTCCCAAACCACTTGGAGCAAAGCAGAATGAAGAACACCAAAGACATAAGAAAAATATTAGCCCAAGAGACTAAAGATCCACATAAACCAGAGACTCTACCAGTCTGAGACCAGAACTAGATGGTGCCCAGCTACCACTAATGACCGCCCTGATCAGGAACACAACAGAGAGTCCTGGACGGAGCAGGAAAAAAGTGCGAAGCAGAACTCAAATTCACATAAAAAGACCAGACTTAACGGTCTGACAGAGACTGAAAGAACCTCTGAAATATGGCCCCTGGACACTCTGTTAACCCAGAACTAAAACCATTCCCAAAGTCCATTCTTCAGACAAAGATTAGACAGGACTATAAAACAAAAAATAATACACATGAGGAGTGTGCTTATTTCAATCAGATACACAAGACCAAATGGGCGGCTCTTGTCTGGAGGCAGGATGAGAAGGCAGGAAGGGACAGGAACTGGTTGAATGGACACAGGGAACCCAGGGTAGAAAGGAGGAGTGTGCTGTCACATTGTGGGGACTGCAACTAATGTCACAAAACAATATGTGTATAAATTTTTATATGAGAAATTAACTTGAGCTGTAAACTTTCACCTAAAGCACAATAATACAAAAAAATGAAAAGAAATATAAGTACTACACAATTAAAATTTTCTTACATCAACCCTGGATCAGTGGCTGAATGAGACCTTTATCTTCTAATTCAAGGTCATTAAGCAAGAAAGCATATTAAAAACCAATAAAGAAAGGATAGTAGTGATAGTTGAGAAACATGACGAACATAATTAATATCACTGGATTGTACTGTTCAAATGGCAAATGTTTTGTTATATATATTTTTATCACAATTAAAAAAAAAAAAAAAGGAAGAGAGGTCATCAGCACTGAAAAAAAGTCCAAGTCTTCCATCCATATGTTCACTGGATTCAATGAAAACTATGAAAAGAACTGCTGAATACAGCATTATAGAAGCAAGCCTGACTGTGCAACCCTTACAACTACCCATTAACAGGTACCTATGAATAACAGAAGGGCAGTTACAATGACACTGTCCTTTTCTATAGCAGTATAAACCCAAACAATCAATAAGAACAGCTTTTGGGTCATCAACCTCTCTGAATCAAAGAATGCAATCTGAAGCAATGAGATGCCGTCTTAGACTGTCAGATTGGCATTATTTTTTAATTAATAATAGCCTATACTCCTGATGTTATGGAGAAGAAGTAGGCGGGAATACAAATTTGCCCAATGTTTTTAGAGGACAATTTAGCAGTATCTCAATATTTTAAACTGCATTCTCTTCTAACCAGAATATCTACTTCTGGGTGTCTCTCTGAAAGAAATACTTAATAAAGGGCATAAAGATGTATGCACAAGGATATTTACCACAGCATTACTTTTAATAGCAAAACTAATTGCTATTAATAGCAATCAGTCACTAAAATAATAAAGTAGGTCTGAATGTAGGGAAACAAACGGAAGGAAACAGTTAACAGCAAGCAAGGAGGTGGCTCAAACCTTCTGCCTGGGATTCCCTGTGTGATACCAGACCTCCTTGCAAACGTGCTAATGGTTTTCTATAGATAACACAGTCCCTCCTTTAAAAATGTCAGGATATACCTGTTCTGTCTTAATTGCTTTTTGTAAATAATTCTGGAATTTATGGATTTATCGGGTATGGCCAGCTGGAAAATGGGAGATAATGTCACAGACATTTTCTGTTTGTGTAACTAATCGAGTGTAAAACTGGGGATTTCCATCAGAACTTTCCTACTAATCCAAAACAAAAAATGCATGCTAAGGTTGAATTTTAAAACTGTAGTCAAAGACTGTCAGAAATACATTCATAAACGATTTTATGTGAATCCATATG